AGCAGTGCTTGGAGCAGTGCTTGGAGCAGTGCTTGGAGCAGTGCTTGGAGCAGTGCTTGGAGCAACGCTGCTGGCTCTCCGCGTGCTGCGCACTGATGCCTGTGCCTTATTTCCCCCCTGGCTTCTCTGCGTGGCTGTGACTCTACACCTAGCAGGTCCCGTACCTGGGCACGGCCCCAGCTTCCCTGCTTCCTGGGCTGTCCCGGTGCCTTTGGCTCTGCAGCGAGGCCTGGCAAGGGTTAATGCAGAAACCCCACGCCCCCTTTGACGGAGTCGGACCAGCCTCGCCAAATTTGAAAGGCATCCGGGGCTGAGTGTGCGCCCTGGGCGCGAGGAGCAGCTCCGGCCGCGGCCCCCCGGTGCGAGCGGCAGCCGGGTCCCGCTCCGCAGCGGCACTCGCGCATCCCCCGGAGAGCCGCACCGGCGGCCCCGGGACTCCCCGTTCCCCGGCTTCGGGGCCACCTCCCTCCTTGAGGGCTCCCAACCCACGTGGGGAGGCGGGGGGGCCTTGCGCTTTGTGCTGAGTGAGAAGAAGGGGGGTGTGCAAGGAAAACCTCGTGCCCGCAAAAATGCGGTTTGCGCTCTTCTTGTCCTGGTGCTGCTGCCTGCATGGATGTGCGCTAGGGACTGGCTTCCTCTACCAATTCCCGACGTCAACCCTGCAGCACAACTACCCCGAGCAGAGCTCGGGCTCCCCGGGCAGCGGCTTCACCAGTCGCCGGTGAGTAAGATGGGGAGTCAGCGGGACGGTGAAATCGTAGCAGAAATGCTCCCCATCCCTGCCTGTGCTTACCTTGTGGTCCCCATGAGTATCCTCATGGGCAGCAGCATGGATGGTGCAGGGAGCCGTGCAGGGCTGCCCGGGGACTCCAGACCTACCTGAGGCTGAGTCCTTCCAGCTCTGGTGGTCCCTCCAGAGCTGATGGAGACAAGGAGCTGAGCTCTGGTTCCCCCCCCCCCCCCAAACCCTTCCCTTCTTGCCCACCCCAGCTTTTTGGGGTTGGGAACTTTGTCCTGCCAGAGTCAGGATGTCACTGTACTGTGCAGAGCCGTGGTTTTAAAGCCTCTGGAGCTGCAGTGTTGGGGATGCCAGCACAAGGAACTGTTACAGCCCCTGGCTGTGAGGAAAACTTGTTTAGCTCAACAAAGGAGACCTTAATTATAGATACTGCTTCAAGAGTTGCAGTTTTTGGATAGCTGCTTAGTACCAAACCTCCCACCCGCCCCAAGCCTGTTCCCATAAACTTAATGTAAATCAATTTTGATTTACTGCATCTTGCTGCTTCAATAGAACAAACAACTCCGGCTCCCCTCCCTCCTCTGTTTTCTCTGGGTATTTCTCTAGAGGTGAAACAGCTGTTCAGATGAATGAGCTGCACTGTGTAAAGTAAGACAGTGGCTTAACCTGATTCCAGTTGTTCTTGAATTTCATGATTTTTTTTTTCCAGTGATTCCCTGAAATGGGCATTTAGGAATTTAATATTCAGGACTCATCTGTTTTGTCTGTACCCCTCCCCGTTCCCCCCACGCTAATACATAGAGTGCAGGATGGATATGGGGCAGGAGGATGTGGGGCAGCGCAGCTTGTTGGGGCTGGGATAAGGCAGCTACCTGGCGGGTCTGCAAAGCTGCGTCCTGAAGCACAAGAGCTGCTGCTCTCCTGCTCTGCTCTGTGGTTCCTGCATATGGTGCCTATTTTGCCAAGATGGGGGTGGTTTTGTTTGCTGGCCTGTCAGCCAGGCCTCAGTCTATAGGGGGTGTGATGTTAAACTAGAGTAACTGTCAAAGGGTTTGAAACAGCAGAAAATTATAGGAGAGTAATGGGATAAACCTATCCCAGATGGCTGTATTCCAAGGAACCCCCTTCCCAGAGCATGAGTTACAATGAGAACCACATGTTGCTTGTCTTACATATCTATTAGCCTGCAGATCTTTGTTCGGAGCTACCACGCTTACATGAGCATGCACTGCCTCTCCGCTCGCCTTGCCAGAGACCTTCCCTGCGTCGCACGTGGACATAGCTTTCCCCTGGGCAGGTATTTGGGTAGCTGACGCTTCGTCAGGGGATTAGAACCCTCTGCAAGTCTATAAAGTGCTGTATAAAACTGTCTGAAGTGAATTTAAACAGTGATGTAAAAGCTGGTAGAATGGTTGTCCAGTGAAGCTTGGCCATGTGAGAATCTTGGATTCTGGCTTAAAACAGGAGGAAATGTTTAAAAAAAAAAAAAGCTGAAGAGAGGGAAAAATCGCTTTGAAATAAAGGTTCAAGTGCTTAATCAAATATCACACGTTGAAGCAATCTTGATATGTTTAGAATTTCCCACTGGATGATGCTGGAAAATATTTGACAAAAAAACCCTCTTCATTTCCTGGTGGGAAAATCTGTGTGGGAAAACTTTACCCAGTGAGGAAGGATGTTGCCCTTTGGGGGAAGCCTGCTGCAGGGCGCAGCCACAGGTTGAAGTTGCTTTGCTCTTCTGGATTTAATATGGTGCTGAATGCAGAATATAGGTTTTTTTGCTCTGAAATGGGACATTGATCTGCATGAATGTCAAGCACTTCTCAGGACTGCAACTGCTAGTTGTTTCCCGCCCAAGTATTTTCCTGCCTTTTCTCCCATCTAAACTGAGGATCTTAACAGCAGCGAATTAGGTTAAGCGATGGCAGCCACATCCACATAGCATCTGCATCCAAATAGTGTCTGCTCTCCATACCCTGAAGACATTGTAGTGGATGGGTAGGTGATTGCTGTTCATGGCACTGTATAACCAATCCCACTTCCCAACGTGTGCTGTATGCAGTGACATGGCATTATTCCCCCCTGTCTTCTGCCTAGTGCAAGCAGGCTGGAGCTTTGAGAACTGCTGCTGTGGCTCTGCGTGTGCAGATGTGGCTCTGCAGCTCATGTCGCTTCTTGCTCCAAAATGCAACCTGCGTTTGTGAATGACTCTGCTCTCAGTCAGCATGGGAGGACGTGATAGAGCTGTCTGGAAATCTGCTAACATTTTTTTTTTTCACTAACTTGTCACAAAAATTGTATTTTCCTAAGGGAGAGGAGGGGGAAAAAAGTTGATGGAGTATTTTCTTAGTAGTGAACAATTCCAAGCTCAGTAGTTAATTTAGTCCTTGGTGTCTGGGATTTGAAGGGGAGGGGAAGGGAAACATAACTCATATCCCTAACAGTGAAATTCTACTCTTAAAAAAAGAAGGAAAAAATTAAAAAAGAAACACTTTATTCAAATCGTAGCTTCTGATTGGTTTTAGTGATAGACCTAAGAAACTTCAGTCATCTTTGCATGTGCTATGAATGCTCTGAACTCCTCTAGGGTCTGTTTGAGCAATGCTGACTGCAGTTCACACCACAGTGTTGGTGGGTATTGGCTCTGCAATAGCAGCCTTGCTGTTTTGGTTGAAATTAGTGTTCAGGACAGATTTTTAACTGTCTGTCATGTTAAGGCTCTGAGATTGGGAAGCATCCTACCCAAAGCATCCTACCCAAAGACTTCCTAGTGTTTTCCTGACAGTTGTCTGTTAGTTCTGACTCTCCCAGGGAAAGATGGTTTGAATGTGATCTCAGCCCCAAATTTTGAAGTTCTTGTGGTCTTCAAGTGGGTGTGGGATATAAAGCTAGTTGTATTGGAGCAATGTGGTTTCCTTTGTTTCTCCCCAGAGGCTGTTGCTTTGAGTCATTCCTCCATCACCCAATAACAGAATCACGAAATGGTTGAGGTCGAAAAGACTCTTAGAGATCATCTAGTCCAACCTCCCTGGCACAGGGTGGCATCCAGGCAGGTTTTGAAGATCTCCGGGGAAGGAGACTCCACAAACTCTCTAGGTCTACAGCTCTTCATTGCTGGGGATCTCCAGTGCTTGCTGGGCTGTGTAGGGGTGTCCAGCAAACAAACCTGTGTCGTGCTGAGCCCTCTGCACTAATTCTGCTTTGAAGTGCCCTACCCAGGTAACCAAGAGGTCACAAGGTCTTAAGCTCCTCACCAAGCCTTTCAACTCCCCTGTGTTTGTTTCCTGCCTTCTTGAGCCACATGATCTTCATCTAACTTGGGAGGTTCAGAGCTGCAGTTTTGTAACACAATTAAAACAGGGTGTAAGGGCCTAGCAATGCTGGAATGGCTTTGAAATACCAGGCATGACTTTAGTTACTGCACTGGGCTGTATTTGTTTAGGAAATCTCCTACTGTCTTGGCTTTCCAGCTGTTTGTGTGAATTGCTTCCTGTCATGTATGTCTCCTTTCCAGCTCGAGAAAGGAAAAGGTAGCGGTGAAGCAAAGGAGTGGGTGGCGATGAACTCGTGCTGTCTCTGGATAAATTAACTAAAGTGTCTCCTTCAATAATCCTTAATTGTTTGTTTTCTCCAAGCTGAGCTTGTTAGTGTTTCAAGCCCCGAATGAAACACAAGATTAGAAACTTAACAGCTCTGCTTGGCAGAGTAGTTCTGTGACACTTGGATCACAATCTGCTTAGGTCTCTGTTTTATCCACTCAGGCTGTGTCTTGATAAAGGGAGGAAAAAATCAAGGATATCCTTTGGGTTTGTAGCTAAAATGACTGTCAAAAAATGGGTCCTTCTGGGTTTACTGAATAAGAATAATAGACTGACTCTCAGGCTCCCTCTGGGTTTAGATCTCTAGCTTCTCTGCATCTTGAAGCAGCATTTGTTGTTGCTGTTGTAAAAGGGGGACTCACTGCCCTGTGGGGTAATGTTGAAATTCATTGGTCTTCATTTCTGCAGCAACCCAAAGCTCTTGGTGACTTTTACTTGGAGAGATGTAGACAGTGCTTAACTCTGCTTTCACGGAGGCAGAAGGTTTATTTTGAGGCTTTAAGCTTGAAGCTAGACCATGCCAGCCGGCATATTGCAAAAAGATTCTAATAAGAATCAAAACTGAAAAAAAAAAAAATTTAAATGTTAGTAATGGGGATATCATCCTAAAAATTTTCAATTTGTTATATAACTAAATAGTATTAAGATTCTTATTTAATGTTTATGAACATATTGGGGCACTGATCTCTAGACAGAGTTTTGAAGTGTCCCTATAGAAAGGGAAGAGAGTAGGAACTGAGGAATTGTTCTTAATTGCTTTTGTTCCTCTTTTCTTTTCTGGAAGGAAACAATTATTTATGGACTTGCAATTTATTGCACTGAATAGTTGAACCTAAGATGTTTTGGCTTGTTTGGCATCTTTAATGCCTTACCACCCCAAGAATGACCAGAAGTGTAAGTAGTGTGCTTGGGTGAAAGTGTAACCTGTGCTGATTTAGACCTGGGTATTTGAAAACGGCTGTAGCTGTTTCCTTTTTCAGAGGAAGGGTCAGTAGAAGCTATTTCAGATCCAAGACACTTTTAGCAATGGGGAGATCACAGGTCTTTCAAAGAGCAGGAGGGGGAAAAACTGATCCTCTCCTCTCTTGCAAGGGCTTTTCACTGAGGAGCCCACAGGATGGATCCTATGGAGAGAAATGTTTGAAGCAGCTTTGTGATGTTTAATGTCTGAGATAAAGACATCTTGGCCCCATTTATCACCACCCTCTGAGCTCTGCCATCCAGCTGGTTCTCAATCCACCTCACTGTCCATTCACCCAACCTACACTTTCGTAGCTTTTCTGTGAGGATATTTTGGGAGATAGTGTTCAAAGCCTTGCTGAAGTCAAGGCAGACAACATCCACGGCTTTCCTATCGACCATCCAGCCAGTCCTCCCATTGTA